GCGGGAACGGGGACCTCCTGGAACGCATGTGGCTAGTAGTTCTGGAGAGGAAAACAATCGTCTTCGAGTCGTCGGGATAGTGACGATGAAGAGGCAGTCATCCTGTCTCTGTACTCTGAGGGGCCAGGCATATCGTCGGCATGGTCGTTGTTGTTGTCGGTGTTGTTATCGTTACTGATATTGAGGCTAGCTGAACCAACGTTATTGACTTCAGTGTTGTGGTCGGCAATGTTGTTGTTGACGTCGACGATGTTGTTTTTTTCTTCCGTGTGATTAGCCATGACAGTCAAAAGGTGGTTGAATTTAGCTTTTGTCTCGTGTGAATGGAAGACGGGGAAACAAGTTTCTCACAGACGACGCCATTGATCGTACCTGACCAGAATGGACCGTCATAACTTGCTCCGAGTAGAACTTGAGAGTGAGGTGGGGGTACCTGCAAGACACTCTGATGCCAAAGTAAGTTTCAGAATGAGCAAGCAAGTATGAGAGTAAGAAATGTTCAATACCTGACCCTCTCGAAAGAGAAGATATTTATAGCCCCTAGCACTGGGCTAAGGTCTCCTCATTGGGCTGGTCAAGCAGGCCCAAAGTGGAGACTGTCAGGTTCTACGTGAGTAGTGGGAACCCGCACGTGGTCCCCCACCTGGATGACTTCCTCCGCAAGATCAAGAGGATATGGATGCGGTCTTTTCGGAGCCACGAAGACTTCATGATATTCGAAGATATTGATAGTCAGTCCTACGAGGAGGATGCTCGTGAGGTGCTTCTGCTCGTCGTGGAATGCCCTCTGCCAGACGTGAGGTCGTGTGAGGAGATAAGGCTTTGACGAGGAGGATCAGAAGGTGTCCTCGGGATCATCCTGATCGGTGTGTGAGCTCCCTAAGGCTAATTGGGTTTTTCCCTCGTGTAGTGAGGTCGCTTTCTTACGGGGAGTGGAACATCTTCTGCCCGACATGAATTGGGCCTCACGTGGAGTTGGATCAAAGGCAAACCCAATCCAAAACAATTCCCTACTGATAAGGATAAAAATTTCCAATCCCTCTTAAATCTGCTTAAAAAGAAATCACTTGAAAATACATCACCCAACGAAAAATCCTAACTTAAAAATAGATTGTTTATTAAATACATCACCCCAACTTAAAACTACATCTCAATTCTCTCTCTTTTATTTGATATTTTTAATATATTAAATGTTTAATAAATCTAGTCTATGTAATAGTAAAGATACATTATTTATTTATTTATTTAATTTAAAAATTAAAAAAGTTATATAGATAATTAGAGAAAGTATTATATTAAAAAAATTTAATCAATTCCTAAAATATAAAATTTTAATAGAGTTTTCTTTTAATAATATATTTTGACAATATTAAATTAAATATATAAAATAGGTATATACAAAAAAAACCTATATTTTACCATAGTCATCCCTCCGCCGTCAAATATTCATCATTTTTTCTGTTTCTTTCCGCTTTTTCTTCGTTCAACTTTTACATTTTTTCCTTGAACCGGACAAAACCGGTTCAGTTTTCCTGTATTACTCCGATTTTCCTGGTTTTAACCGGCAGACCAAACCGGTCCAACCCGGTTCGATAACATCACTACATTTTCCTACCTACTCCTAGTATTTATAATAACAATGACATTAAACTCACTCACTCCTGTCACTCCTTCTATTCCCTATGTTTCACTCTCAAATAAAAATTAAAAATTAAAAAAAAAAACTTAATATAAAAAGCGCTTTTTCTTCTTCTTCTTCATTTTGAGGTTTAAGCGCTTTTACTCTCACTCTCACCAAACCTTCCTCGATCCTTCCGCTTTTTCACCGATCGCATCATCCAGATCCAGGTAAACAAACCCTTAATCAATTATCTTCAATATTTGTATTAAAAAATTGGTTTTTATTTGCATGATCTTATTGTTTTTATCGAATATCGATCCATTTATTTTCATGAATGACGAGTAAATGATGTGAGAGTGTTGATTTTGTTGTAAAGTTTAGGTTTTTAATTTTTCATATTTCGTTTGTTGCAGATCAAATGTCAACTATGGCTCTTTTGCGTTTTACACCCCCCTCTGGTAAAACTAACAGCCATGCAATTCCATTTCCATCACCATCACTTCCACAGTTGAGTAACCGTTCTTTTTATCTCACCAAACCAACCCATTTGCCTCAAAGGTTGAAACTTTTGTTTGCTGGTGGTGAAGGGGGTGATGGGGTTGGTCGTGGTGGTGGTCGTGGTGGTGGAGGTGGTGGAAGTGAGAATTGGGGTGGTGCTGATAAGGATGATGGAGATTCAAACTCAAATTCAAAAGATTCGTCTTTTGGGGTTTTGGGTTTGTTTCTGAATGGTTGGAGATCAAGGGTTGCTGCTGATCCACAGTTTCCTTTCAAGGTTTTGATGGAAGAGTTGGTTGGTGTTTCTGCATGTGTTTTAGGTGATATGGCTTCGAGGCCTAATTTCGGTTTGAATGAACTCGACTTTGTTTTTTCAACTCTTGTTGTTGGTGCTATTCTCAATTTCACACTCATGTATCTGTTAGCACCATCATTAGGATCTGCTTCAGCTAGTGTGCCTGCAATCTTTGCTTCCTGTCCTAAGAGTCACATGTTTGAACCCGGCGCTTTTAGTTTGATTGATAGGTTAGGTACTTTGGTCTACAAAGGAACCATTTTCGCTGCTGTTGGATTCGGTGCTGGTCTTGCTGGAACCGCGCTTTCAAATGGGTTGATTAAGCTGAGGAAGAAGATGGATCCAACCTTTGAAACACCAAACAAAGCTCCACCTACTTTACTCAATTCTCTCACTTGGGCTGCTCATATGGGTATCAGCAGCAACTTTAGGTACCAAACACTCAACGGTGCCGAGTTCTTGTTGGAGAAAGGGCTTAATCCGTTGGCGTTCAAGGCCTCTGTGTTGGTGCTTAGGGTTGTGAACAATGTTCTTGGGGGAGTGTCTTTTGTGGTTTTGGCAAGGTTAACAGGAGCACAAAATTCCGGTGAAAAGAAGCCGTCGGAATTGGAGGTTGGATTAGTTGAGAAAGCTGAAAGGGAAAGGGAAGAAGAGGCTTTGGAGAGTAGCAGCCAAACAACACCAACAAAGTGAATAGCATCCATCACTTGATTTGGTTTTATCTATTGCTTTGACTAAGGTTGTTGGATAGATGAGTGCTTTTTTAGTTTTTTTTTTCCTGAATTTTCTATAGATTTTCCTAGTGTCACAAACTTTGGAAGCAACAAATAAGATTGAATGGTACAAATTTCTGGCAGGTTTTGATGTTATGTTGCTGAAAATAACAACCTGAAACAAGGTGACAAATTAGTTTGGCCATGTGTTGGATTTTGGACCCCCACCAACGTGAAATGAAAATGCTATGGCTACTATGTTGCTTTTTGTTTCTATTGTCTCTGTAGACTTTTGTTGTCTTTTTCTTGACCAGTTATTATTTTATCATTGTAAAAGTATCACAAATCTAGTTCGGAGTGTTGGCTAAATAAAATTAGATGCATGATATTGGTATCAAATTGTGCAATTTTGTTTGTTTTGGTGTATTTTACTTTTTACTCAAGTATTTCATCTGTTTCTTTCTACATTACGTTATGTTTAATTTTATGCAAATAAAACACACTTTTAGTCTCTTAAGAACACCTTCAATCCAATTATATATCATGTACATATCATTGGTGTTTTTAACTAGGTCCTGTCATTTACATGTCATTCATTTTTTTTACTATTTAAAATTTGTTTTTGGTTTCATGTTGGAAGCAGCTACCTTTGATTCTGAAGGTGATTTTTACTGTAAATTTTATTGCTCATTTTACATTCAATAGTTTGTTTTAGATAAAATCGATTTCCATTTGATATTTTTTAATCTTACAAAATCAATTCTTTCAAAACCAATTTTTAATGTCATCAAACATGCCATTATTCTTTTAAAAAAAATTACTTACTAAACTATACATACCAATAATTCCTACTGTTAGTCTATATTATAGCACAAGTTGATCTATGTAGTCAATCTTAATTAATAAAATATAGCACAAGTTGATCCATATAAGCGCAAGTTGATCTATGTAGTTGATCTCTGATGAGTAGATGAATCAATCATTCGCATTATATGATGCTCTAAGTGATTCAATTTATTTAGGCTTTAATGTTTAATACTTTTTAAGTTTTGCCTTTTAGAAATTTTTCCTTATAATAATGCCATCATTTTCTTTAAGGATTCTACATGATTCCTTCAATCAACTATTCTCCACCCATTCAACATCGCTGCCCCGCCATATAGGGTAAAGCTCTTTTTTTTTCATCGCCGATCCACTGGACTCTCTAATCTAATTAGGAGGTTAGTTATAATTTAAAGTGGTTTCAGCCCCTCCTGATCACAGTTATGACATCAAGTGATTCTTTACTTATAGTGGCATAAGTACATTTTCTGCAATATTATGGAGGAAAGCAAAGCTACATACCATTTACTAGTATGACATGCATATCATTTTCTGCAATATCCATAATTTATTTGATTTTTGTTCGTATTTTTGGAAAGAAAAAAAAAAGTCCTAAAACTTCAATAAAAACAAACATAAAGCAAACATCATAACTCATATCATTACTCGTAGGGTTCTGCCTTAAGAAAATATACCTGCGAAATATTTGCTCTGTTTGTAAATAACCAAATAAGACCAAGAAAAGGAAAAAAAAAAGAGAAGAATATATGTTCCACTTCTCAATAGTTTTACAAAGTAAAACAAAGTTAAATCATGTGTAAAACCTTATATACATGTAAACACTAAAATAGTACACATGGACAAGTTCCGAGTTAAAACTTGGTCACTCAGTATATTCTCCCTTCTTTATGTGGAACTTCCACTTGTCATTTGTTGTTTCTAGTTTCTTTCTCCCTTCTTGTGCGACCATACTTCGGGAAATTGAACTAAAGAAGTGTATGTTGCAGGAACACTAATAACAGACCAATCAGGAAATGTAGCATATAATGTCTTATCTAACAGCCTCTGGCGCAGAATTACAGTATGGTGTATGCAAGCAAACCAATCTAGTGAATGTTAGACATAAAGTAGCAAAACTGATACCTATGATAAGGCCACAAGTGCTCTTCCGTTTATCCAAACTAAGCGATCTCTTAACTACACTGCTAAAGCTAGGAATTAATCCCCCACAGGCAAGAACCATGATGTGGTCAAGACCACTATAATCGATACCACTTAGAATAGCTCCAATTGCAGATATCGGACCCATAAATCCAATTATGGCAGCTGCTGCAAGAGAACCATGCCAGCTATCAGTGGCTCCAAATATACAGCTAGCCACAGCTGCACCTCGAGGAAGCCCGTGTAAAGAGACTGGAAGGACCATATGACGACCAAGTCCATATGCCTTTGGTGCAGCCACTCCCAATGCAAGTCCTTCAGCCAGAGCATGAAAAGCAACTGCACCACATGATATGAATGATTGAAGGGTGTGAATACTGAGTGGGAAGCCAGTGATTGTAGGTAAGCTATGGGCTGAGGATTTTTTTGAAGCAGCAAGCTTCAATACACCAGAGGAAGATATGTGGACCAGAGCGGCTCCCATTGCAAGGAGAGACGTGACGGGAATAAGTCCCAATTTTGAAGATAAAATAAGCTGCAAGGGTCGCCATGCACCAAGGACAAAGGCAATACCGCAAGCAGTGCCCATGAGAAGGGCGTGCTTGAGATGAAAAGCAAGAGCAAATGCAACCAGAAAAATCCCGCCAAGGAACGGGCCAAGGCCAAAAAGTAATGAAACAAAGAAGCCAGAAGCATCCTCAGAGCTGCAACAAATAAATCATGTCGGAAAACTAAAAATTATTTGCCAAACAAACCAACCCAAACAACAAAATATAACTGATAACACCATACATATATGAGCGCGCACACACAGAAACTCACCTGTAATCATGGGTGAAGTTCTGAAAGAAGGTGCTGAGAGCTTCCATAAATGCTACAGAAAGGGTTGCAGCTGATGCAACCTGTGAAGGTGAGGCTTCCTATAGCCAAAAAGAAAGAAAATGATTTAGATATATATACAAAGAAAACTCTACAAAAATAAACAGAAGATAATAGCATATAAAGTGTGGCTCAAGGAGATGAAGTCTTGCAAATTCCATGAAGAAAAGGATTATAAAAAGGTTAACCTCCTGGCACAAGAAGACACATTTCGTGCTCTGTGAGAATATAAAGGTTATTCATATGTTATGTTAGTTCTTAAAGGGCTGAGCTGGATGGTACATGGCCTAGATTATTAATAAAAAAGGAGCACTAGGCTAATGTTTTGTTACAATCAGATCATATCATTATATCAATTATTCGAGGTTTCTATCCTTCCAATTTCATCTTATAATTTCAAGATATTATCCATGTGGTCAGCAGTGTAATCCATGTTAGCCCAATTATTAGCAATTCAATTTCAACACATGGTAAAATGGTTTACAGAATTTTATTATCGCATTAAGCGAAAAAGAAGATTTGCTTTAGAAGAATAGTAAAAGATATAAAGCTATACATAGCCTTTCTTTAATAGCTTAAGCTTTAAGGACTTGATTCTCTCAACAACAACAAAAAAGAATTAAAATAGTGAAGTTATGAAAATAAACTTTTACAACTCGAAAATGCTATTGTAAACAAACATATCATAATATCGTTGGTGTAGGATTATAAAGGTAAATAACCTTGAATGCATCAGGAAGTACTTCAGCAATAACCATCCAAATCATGCATCCAGCAGCAAACCCCGTACAAAAAGGAAGAAACTTGCTGAATGCATCCGCACATATGAAAGAAGGAACAGCTACAATTGGCTGCATTAACATTAAGAGTAAGATATTAAGAGGCTACAGTCAAAGACATCAATGATTTTGTTAAACAAAATAACTGTATTGGACTAAAGAATTGCTATCCTTCTATATGCTTACTTATCTTTCCATAATTCAACGAGGAAAACAAACCAAGACCAAACAACTAGAAGTGTGTCTAGGCCAGTGTTTGTGTCTACAACATATAGTCATATCAACATAGACCTATTAACAATTTTAATTAGGCTAGACTAGCTTAAAGATAAAATTGCATCACTACAAAAGCAACCTATATTAGGTATGTACTGCCAATGCAATTTCATATTATGGCAAATTAAATTTCCCCATGGATGTGATTCCATTACATACAGGATTATTAATAACTCAAAAGACACTAAAAAATCTTTGACTGTCCAAGTGAGTACATTGAGAGAGTTGTACCCTTAGATTAAATGATAGTGCCAATTAGTGAAAAACACAATTACTACAACAACAACATAATATTAACTATTCTGATATTCACCATTAAAAAAAAGAAGATAAAATATATAGCTAAATAGAGTGAAACGATCACAAGCTATCCAATCATAACCTTGTTCTGCGGATAATGTGAGCATGGGCACAAGGCTTACAAGGAGGGTAAGATTTGTATAAAATAGAAAAGAAAACTCTTCAAAGTGATGTGCCCAAATAAAGTCAAAATAATATTCTTCTAAACAATGTAGGATTATTAAAACTTAAATTAGGGTGTACCTGTGGTAGAGATGTAATTACACTCCATAACATAGCATTCTGTGGAGAAACACCCCTTGAAGCAAGCACCATGCTCACAGCTAATCCCTCTGGTATGTTGTGCACCGCAATAGCCAAGGTTACCAACAGGCCTTGACTAAAACCCTTTGAGCCAGCAAAGGAAACCCCAACCCCAGATCCCTCTCCAAAAGAATGAAGAGTCATTATTCCAATAACAAGAACAACTTTGGTTGCATCAGCACCTTTTAGATCCAACATGCTTACTTCCCCGTATTGCTCAAGAAACTGAAATCCAAGAGACATGCAAGACAAAAAAATGAAAATACTACTAATCTAAAATACTCTACTAGTAAAATTTGAAAATTACTGAACAAAAATGCATCCCGAAAAATAGAAAAAGACAAGGTCCTAATCCTATACATGATGCTTTTAGTAACTGGTCAGTTCATCAATTTTGCTAACATCCCTTAAGTAGACCGGGTGGAGATTTCACCAAAAATCAATATGAATGACTTGCACAATGCACATGAGAGGTGAATAAGAAAACCCTTAGTTTTTATTTTTTTGACAAAAAATCGCCAAGGGTATAGAGCTTCTTATTCATATCAATAATGTAGTATCAAACCATCACAACGCATATATACACATAGCCAAATACTGAGGAAAAACAACAACATCCAGGTAAATACAAAGCGGAGAAAGAATGGCAGACAGAGAACAAAAATAATCATTATCACCTTTTTACATAGCCAAATAAAGATACCACCAGCTAGAATTCCAGTAACAACCCAGCTTCCAGAACCATACTCCTGCCCTTCCTGTATTAAATCAAAACTTGCAGCCAACATAACACCTGCAGCCATTCCGTTACATAACCCGGCCCATTGTGGATCAAGTTCTACAAAGAAGAACGGCACTGCACCTAAACCAGTAGCAGCTGCCATTGCCAATGTAAATAACGCAACAGTCGAAACCGAAACTCTATTACTTCCACCCTTCTTATTTCCCACCACATTATTTCCATTCTCAACCTTATACAAATTCTCTACACCAGTACCATCAATTACAACGGATCCAACATCCTTATGTGGGGCAGCTCTTACTTTACTATGCAAAACTTCATTTTCCAATTCCGCATTCAAATGTCCAATTACAAGAAAGCTTAACAGTATAAACAACAAGGAAACACCTAATCTTAGATTTGGAGCCATGTGCAACATATCCCTCAAAATGAAGGAACACTTTCTCTATGCCAACAGCCCCAAATCAAAAATACCCAGAAACTACAACTCCATTAGCTTCTATTCTATCAGATTAAATCAGAAAGTGTTTGTGTATTGATATCAAATTCCAGAAAAATGTCAATGTCAGTCCAAAATCCAATGAATTTATGAATTAGCATATGATGTAAAGTCTGATGTACCTTATGACCAACCTAGCTGCAGCTGATACAAAAAAGAGCAAAGAATTATGAAAGACCAATGAATAAAATAAAACATACAAAATAAAATATAGAATTCCAATTATAGGTAAACAGAATAAACAAATACAATTACAATACAATAACCTAACAAATTGTTGAAGGATGAACTAAGAATACCCAAAAACCCAATTAAACCCCAAAATTCAGAAAAAGTATAAGCATTGTGAAATTTAAAAGAAAAAATTGAAAATTGAAAGAGCTGAAGGGGAAAATTGCTTACTTGCATGATTGGGGGATCGTTGGAAATTGGGGGATTAGAGAACGAAAGAAAAGGAGGAGACTTTGAAAACCCTAATTGGATATTAAATTGCAAAGATAAGAAATTTGGCACACAATGAAATTTTGGGACCAAAACCAGCGACTTTGCGCACGCAGAAACCGGTGATGATTGATTCAACTCAATTGTCCCACACATATATTTGCCAATAAATAATTTGTATATTGTTCATTAACAATTTTAAAAAAATTAATACCATTTATTGTTCATTAACAATTTTAAAAAAATTAATACCATTTACAAATATTTTAGTTCGTCCATTAAATTTGAAATCTCTTTTTTATATCCTATATAAGTGTTTCTATCTCTCTTTCATTTTTTTTATCTTATACACTTATACAAATATCAAAAATGGAATACCTTTTTGGCACTCAATTAATACGTTTTAAGAGGACAATAATTAATACGTTTTACTTTCTTTAATCTTATTTATAAAAGAAATTTAATTTTTTATATTCATTAAATAATTAATATATCTTATTATTATTAAGTTTAAATATAAATTTAAATATATTAATTATTTGATAAATCTAAAAAATAATTTTTTTAAAAATAATAAATATATTTGACATGAATATTATTATAATAGAATAGTTGTAAGAATTTTCTTTTTGCTAATATAAATATTATCTTAAATTTTCTTACCGTTTGTGATTCCATTTCTTTGAATATTATGTGATTTCATTTCTTTGAATACTAAAAATAACTTTATAAAAAAATAAGTATAATTTATTTTTTTAGTTTTTTATTTATTTTGCTGTTAAATTATAGTTTTAGTTCTCTTATTATATAATATTATATAAATAAAATATTCTTTTTAATCCATTAACTTTACCTCGAATCTATTCTGATCTCTTATCTTTAAAAAAATTTAAATTGGTCTTTTAATTGTTCAAAAATAATCACGTTTATCCTTTCCGTCTGGACCGTTAGTCAAAGTCAATGGTAGAGTTTATGTGGCATATATGTGGCATTGCACGTGCTCATCGTAGGTTAGTCCATTAACTTTACCTCAGAGTCACTTTTGGTCTCTTAAGTTTTAAAAAGATCTATATAGTCCTTTATGTCTTCAAACGACGTCATTTAGGTCCTTTCCGTCCAATTCTCATAAAACAACGTTTGTTTTCACATGTGTAGCATCTGACGTGACATATTTTAATATGCGTGATATCTAAGGTGACATATGTTTGTCACTAAGGTAATCAAAATTCCATAAAATTTTCCAAAATTTTACTTTTAACCAAGTATCAAACCAGGCCACCTAGTTTTCTAGGCAAGTTGGTCTACCACTGGGCCCTATTATTTTTGGTGATTAATACAAGAGAATATTAATATATAACAGATGGCACATATCTCCTTCTTACTGCAAGTAATAACAACAACTTTTTATTCGTTTTTTTAAGAGAAATTGAACATCAACGACAAGTGTATTCTTTTACAATATAATTTCAGCACTGCAAGTTATGCTTCATAAAATCTCTACGCCTCATATGGATTTTGGCTGCCCCAAGTGACATCTAAAGTTTGGAATTAAATATACTGCAATATTGTTTTAAACAAAAACTGAGGATTTTTTTCATCTGATAGTAACCAATGACACTGAGAGATATGCATATGTACATATTCTTTTGAGCAAGTTTTTGCTGCATATTGAATTGATAATATTTTCTATACATGTACTATATGTGAATGTTTCTGCATATTTCATATCACGTGTGACTGTTTATTTATCAAAAATAAGTTAGTATAATGTTGATGATGAGATGAAACCTTATTCTCTGAAATTCATATTAGATGGTTACACATTGAATGGTTTTAATTAGTATAAAACAATGAAAATATTACTTGCAAGTCACACGCAACCATGCATTTATATATATATATATATATATATATATATATATATATATATATATATATATATATATATATATATATATATATATATATATATATATATATATATATATATATATATATATATATATATATATATATGATCTTGTTGCATAATCTCTCCCATTATGCTTTATCCTACCCAATTATGACGGTATGTGTAACTTTTAAAACGTTGCAAAATCTTACTTAATTTCTTGATTGTATGTGTAACTTCCAAAACGTTGTTACCCTCCAACTCAAGGTTTCACTAGCACGTTCCACTAGTGTGACTGTCAACAAAAATTCAACCTATCATGAAGACTTAATGAGTTAACGTGAACAATAGCCTCATGGATTCACAAAATTCAGATATATTTAATGGTGATTTTTGAAGGTTGAAGAAGGAGTGCACTATGCCAAACAAGGGATTAGACAGCGCTTTTTTAGGCCTTTAACAGCGCTTAAAAGCGCTGGTAAAACCTCCGCTGCTAAAGATATAGACAACGCTTATGTAATTTCAAAAGCGCTGCTATAGGTACCCCCCTTAGGAACCCCTTTAGCAGCGCTTACACTTTAGACATCACTTTTAATGTGGAACTTTAGACAGCGCTTGGTAAAAGTGTTGTCTATTCCCCCCCCCCCCCCCTTTAGCAGCGCTTTTCCTTATTATTTTTTATTATATTTTTTTTCAATCACTTTAGACAGCGCTTTCATGAAAAGCGTTGTCTATCCCCCCCCCCCCCCCTTTAGCAGCGCTTTTCCTTATTATTTTTTTAATATTTTTTTTTCCAATCACTTTAGACAGCACTTTCATTAAAAGCGCTGTCTATTCCCCCCCCCCCCCCCCCCCCCCCCCCTCTTTAGCAGCGCTTTTCCTTATTATTTTTTTAATATAATTTTTTTCTAACACTTTAGACAGCGCTTCTCATTAAAAGTGTTGTCTATTCCCCCCCTTTAGCAGCGTTTTTCCTTATTATTTTTTAAATATAGTTTTTTTTCCATTTAAAACAAAACGCCGCCTATCAAATTTAATCTCACCATTTTTGCACCAGAATTTATAGCTTCATTATAACATTTTAAACAACAACAACATCAATATACCACAATGAAACAATATTATAACAACATCAATATTCATCTCTTAAATCATGTTTGCACAATATACACAACAACAACATTAGTATATACCACAATGAAACAATATTATAACAACATCAATATTCATCTCTTCAATCCTTTTTGCACAATATACACAACAACAACATTAGTATATACAACAATGAAACAAAATCAACAATGAATTACAAAATAACTCTATCTTCTACATCAAGCTGCACCTATATAACCTAAAACAAAATCAAAAAATCAAAATTCATACAAGTTACCAAATAACAACAACAAAAACAATAATATTGTAACACAACTATAATGACATATATTATATTCTTAAAACTCAAAGTTATACCTTATAATAAAACTCTCAACTCCATAACAAATTGGCATCAATCCTCCATAAGTTCATCCAATTGATCTTTTGAGTATGAAGCACACTTGAATTCATCAAAGTACTACATAATAATATAACATAGTATGATTTAATTAAAATACTAAGTCATTTTATGAGAAATATGAAAATAATTCCTAAGTTAGAAATTCATACCGTGGATGGAATCTCTAATCAGTCCAAAAGAATAGTTTCTTTCATAAACCTCAACATAAAATAACCACAATCTACACCATTGCGCTGACGAGGACACTACACATGGAAAGAAAATATAGATATACATCAAGATATACACCTTAACTTGTTTTATCAAGTATCATCGCTATATAATCAAAACTGTGAAAATCTATACCTCCACTTTGATCCAAGAAATATTGTTGACTCTACTCCTTGGTACTTGAATATCTCTTTGTGCTCGAAAACTTTGTAGAATGCTATAATAAAATAATAACGAATATTTAGAACCATCGCACATAAATAATTAAATATACACAGTAATATTTTGGAACAATCTCACTTACGTGTCAATCGTCTTCTTCATATCTGGGTATGTTGTCCAATCATTGCCCAATGAATCTAGATAATATACAATTTCTCTCACAGGATTAATCGCAACAAATAACCAGTGTCCACTGGAATATTAAACAAAGGTTAGATGGAAATTTTCTGCACAACGTTAAAAAACGAAAAATTATAATAGAGGAAATTTAGAATGAAAATCTTACTTGGGGCCAGTATTATATGGCAAAAAGAACAATTTTTATGTATCTTTGTTGGCCATAAATAAACTGAGCACAAATGCTATTAATTCATTTGGTTTTAAGATAATTGACCCTGCGTGGACAATATTGGGATTTATGAAAGCGAATCTGGACAGCAATCCACGCGGGCGAATCAACTTGTCATACAGAAACCTTAAATAAAAACATCATTAACATTAATTATTCATTGAAATGAGTAAATAAATTCTGCAATTAATTAAACAAAGTTGATTGGAGTATACCTGATGTATGTATTGATAACAACCATGCCTAATGTCAAGTGTCCAAAAACTTCTTCCAAATCCTCCTTACCAATT